GGTTCTAGAAGAATATGTTTCCATCAAATGCTGATGATATCTCGGTTGTCCCAGGCAAGCAGTATTGTGAATGTTGAAGACATGCCAGTTGGTTCCTACCCCGAGGGCTCGTATGTGAGCTCAAACTCAATTCATGACCATTTCTTCAGTGAACAAGATGAGGAACTTCGTGAATTGATGGTGAGGGGGTCAATGAGCTTCCTACACAAGCTTATCTCACGCAAGCTGCATTTCACCTTTGACATTCCCAAGAATCTCATTGAAGAGTTGGACGCAAAACGATGCTACCCAAGACATATCCAACAATTCTGATCCGGCTGCCAATGAAAGTGAAATACTATCACTGGACCACATGGTATATGTGAAGAAGCGAGCTGCTAATCTACAAGAGCATAAGTTGAAGATAGTCAGCTACCCTACCCCTTTGTCAACTGGTCCTCCAAGTGCTAATTGTGTACTTGTTTCTTTTGTATCATTCTCTTTACTTTTATTTTGACTTTACTTTCCTTTTGCATCATTATCTTTCATTTTCTTCAATATCATTATCCTTGGATCATGATCTTCCATTTCATTTTGTATTTTCATTCTTACCTTTTAGATCCCGCTGACGATGTGTTCCATGCTGGCTTTCGCATGTAATCGCAGATGCAATGCTTTCCGAGTTTTAAATGGAGTCACCTTTGTAGCAAGTGGCATAAGCTGCCGTGTCAACAAATTTTTGCATTCTTCGGCGCTCTGTGTCTCACGAGACACGTCTCTTCGATTGATGGAACACTTACGTGTCTTACAAGCTAACCGATTAATCCACATATTCAAGGGGAACCATATCATTCACCCGTTTCTATGCTTTGACAATATTGATATTCACCTTCGTGTTCACAACTATCGCATGGAGACTTCAAGTCAAACATTTCATGGGACTTGGGGTTTCTTCCATGTCCCTCCTCCGCATCTTTTGGAAGGGCTGTCAGCTGACGATGTCAATTTCAAAGCTTTTGAGCAGGCTATGGCCACGGCTGAAGGAGAACCAGTTAAAGTCTCAATGTTCATTCCAAGCGCTCAGCAAGTTGCTCATTGGAAAAGTGTTGTTGTATCTCAGCTTGCAATGGTCTTGAAGGAATATGTGGACCATCTTCCTGGTTCAGCTTTTTCATTTACCAAACAGTCAACCAAATAGATCAACAAAAGATTGAAATGGAGGGGCAAGTAAGGGCAAAAACGCTTTTTGGCCTCAAAAACAGCCTCAGGGCTGTTTTTCAAATTTGAAGATTTTTGATCGAAAACGCTTTTTGTTTTTGATTAAACAAAGTTACTGAACGCCTGTGTTTTTGATGAAAATCAAAAACTGTTTTGACCCAAAAACGGTTTTTGGCTTTGGTGGTGCTTTTGACCAAAAACCGTTTTTGGGTTCCAGCCAAACGGGCCTTAAGTCTCTTCAGCTCATCATTGTTGAATTGACTGGCAGCCTTAGCCACATTTCCTTCTGCTATGATCTTCCTCAACACAACTCTTTCACCAATTAAGTTTCCAGCACAGTCTAGAAGCCTTTTATCTGCCTCCAACAATGTCTTCCCTTCACTGATAAGTTGCTTGAGAGGCTTGAACCTTTTGTTATTCTCTGTTTCTCTGTTTGTAGGGCATTGAAACATGTTTTGATATCTGATATGCTGAATTGCAAAAGGTCTTCTGGAAGCATTTTGAGACTGGCTATGCTGAAGAATACACAAGGATCCAGGTTTTTTTCATAAATCTTCAGCTTTGGGAAATTTTGGTTATGGATTTTGACCTAGGTTTACTGCAAAAAACCTATGGGTCATGGGAATAGTATGAGGTATGGGTTTTGGGTAGGACTGTGACCCGGACCCGGCCCTGCCCGGCCGACTCTGCCCGACATCTTTCACAGAGCTGACGGTACGCGCCCCGGGGCATCCAGATCCTGCCCAATGACAGCTGAATATGGCCCCGTGGGCGCTTCAGGCGGCTCGGGCGCCCGACCCGGCCGGGGTGCCGACCCTTTTTTCGCCAAAAAAACGCCTTCACACCAGTCTCTTACTGGCCCTGATTGGCCCTGAGCAGTTTTCAGAGGTCATCGGGCTCACTCAGGGATGAATTTGGCCCCGGGGCCGGCCCTGAACTCTCAGGGTCAGGTCACAGCCCTAGTTTTGGGCCACTTTTCCCCGCCCATAAATTTTATGGACCCAAATTTCTATGGGTTAGGCGGAAGTATGGGATTAGAGGGATATGGATTTTGAGGGATTCAACTGTACACCTAAAATGAAAGTCACAAATACCCTAAGCCATATCCAGACTATCGACAAGAATTGACAGTTGTGTTTGACTTTAAAATCATATATACAGGAAACCTCTGTACAATTGAGCTGACCTGTTGATCATATCCTTCAAGTCTAAATCATGACTGAAATTGAAGTATGTATGAGAAGATTGGGGAGCACTATGGTCTCCGAGTTTTGCCACCAATTTATAGCAAAGATGACTTTGTTGCGCTGCAACAAAACTAGACTTGTAGCAAGCTTAATTTACAAAGACACATCTGAGGAATACTTCACCTTTCAGCCTGACTCATCATCAATCTATTCAAAAGATGTTCCAGCAAGGTATTTTACCTAACAACATCTCTGCATTCAACTTGGGTAACATAGGAAGTGAATTGCACCTGGGAGGTGTTGATCCTAAGAAATATTCAGGTGAGATTGAATCCCATCCAAGTATGTGATTTTCTTGCCATCTTATGAGATTGTGAATGGTCAACAACAAACATGTGTATTCCATATGGAACAGTCTAATGTAAAACCTATTGTAGGTTTACCTCTCAAAATAAAGTTCTGGTCAAATCAAGATTTATTTTGACCTACCTGCTTTGGCACTATCACCATTCTGTGAAACATTTGATCATTTCTTGCTTTGTGCAGGGCAAGTAGGATCTGACATGGTTTTTGCAATTGAAAAATTTCTTGGCAATCAATCCAGCTATGAAACAGTTATTGATAGCAGAACAACAATAATGTAAATAGATTTTATACATTTTGAACCTTCACAGATTCTTCAAGGCAAGTGATCTCATTGTTTCTTGTATAAAATCCAGGTATGGACCCTCTTTCCTCAATCCATTTACTCTTATTAAATTGTGTGATTAATGTATGAATAATTGATAATAATAAAAATGATTAATAAGCAACTATAAGATCACTGTTGATGATTAAAACAACTAACAAAATCTGACTTTGACCAAAAACACATATTCTACCACAAATGTTTTATTTTTTTGATTATATGTATGTATAAGAGATCTTGATCACCACAGCGGTCAAATTAATCATAAAATTTTCCTTTTGATTTTCTTATTTATTTTCCAAACTGATCTGTCTCTGGTCTAGAACTTTGAACATCCCGCAGATGTTAAAGTACCTCCGCAGCGCCTCTGATTGATCCTTCAGAGTATAAAGCACTGCGGGCTCCAGAGTTGTACCAACCAGAGCTCAGAGTCTGATCCAAGGAGGACATCTTATTAGGGGTCAACTAACTATAGTCTTCACTTGGGTGTACCAAGTGAAGACTTCATGGTTGTCTGCACTTCATCTTTTAGTGAAGAGTCAGCCAAATAGTTGCTGACCTCTCACAATGTCCAATCTTCAATCATCTACAAAGCAGACTTCCCAGACAGAGAAGCTTGCAGCTTGAGCATGTGAAATGGGTGTTCACCAATCTCCTTTTTTTGACACCAAGCTGGGTTAATTGAACCACAGAAGAATAAACAATGTCACAGCTTTTGAGCCAATAGCCATATTCAACCTAACCTGGTTACCAAAACAACTGGTATGCCCAATTGCTTTTTTGGCAGTCACTTTGTGTATCAGGTTCATATCTATTGACAGCTCTTGACATATCCCAGTGAAAACGTCAACCAAGTGTACCATTTTTGTGGCATCCCAGTTTGGTTTCAACATGGCTTACAGCCCACTTCTCAGGTAAGAAATCTTTTTTGGTGGTATGTAAGTTCTTTGCTCAAGCCTTAGAATTTTGGCAAGGGACTTGTTAAAGTCTGGACTTTTTCAGTGTAAAATTTGAAAATAGTGGGGGTTCTTCAAATTTTGTACATTTTTGTTCCTTTTTCTTTTCTTCTGTTCAAATAAATTGGTGAACACTCCTTGAACCTGGCAATAACATTCATCTTCATTCCAAAAATTTTATACACCTGTGTAAAATAACTCTGAATAAAATCTGTGGATTGATCCAGCCCATTTCCAAATTTCCACTGAGGAGATTTACACCAAATGTTTCTGTGTAAAGATGACATGTGTAAAAATCCCAAAGAACCCCCTGTGAATGGAAGATTACACTGGGAAAACTTTGCATAGGAAACCAAATTTTTGTGGCTTAAAAGTATCACACCTGAGTTCAAAACATGATAATGGATCAGTGAGAGAAAGACAGCAATTAAAGAGTCTGAATTCGAAAGAAAAGAAATTCTAGAGTGTCTTAGAAAAAAAAGACATGAGATGTGCAGTAGTAAGATCAAAGAACAGCTAGTCAGTCTTTAGCTTTCTTTGTTTTTCTGAAACAGCCTTTCACTTTTCTTCTTCTGCTGTTAAAACAATGCAAAACATAAAGATATCAAAATATTAATTGATGTCATTGAGAGATGATAAGGTGCTACTTACAGAGTTTCACAGTTGTCTCGACCTCTCATTATACAAGTTTGTTCAGGAGATCAAGAGAAATCTTACCGCGGTAGCAGGCCTGTGGCTTCGGTCCTCGACAAAGACGTGCACATTGTCAAACCCTACCTATTTCACGTCAAGGGACACGTAGGGCATAACAAGAAATGAGTCCGTTTCCTTATATGAAGGGTTTTTTTAGATTATTATGGACGATGACAAATATAAGCTACCTGAAGTGATAGACCACTTCCACAACATCAATATGACCGAAGTAAGCACACAGAAATAATGATGACCTCAAAGAATGAGAACCGAAGAGATCTATGAAGGTTTAAAAGGTGGTCGTTCACCAAAGATCTTAGATCCTACCCTAACATTATCACTACCCATTCGAATGGCCAAAGAAAAATCTGAACTCATTCCCATACTAAGTCCCAAAGGTTTAATTCCAATCTTATCCTCTAAAAGATTACGAATCTTGATCAATCGATGAAAGTCTTCATTAAAATCAGAATCAGTTGTGGATTCTTTAAATGATCCAATGGTCATTAATCCACTTAATTCAAGTGATTCACAATCTTCTTTTATATAATTTGATAATAAAATCAATTCTGATGTATCTTCTATTGATTCTTGTTCAACTTTGATTCCTGATTTGTTCAGTTCATTTGATGTATTGATTTGAATATAGATTTTTAGTTTTGCAATTGGATTGCATGAAGTTTGAGATAATTGAGATCTAGATTTGTTTAGTGCTTCGGCTTTTTTAATCGTATCTACTGTTTCTACTGCGAATAGATTTGGAATCGCTATGAATAATGAATCCAAATTCAATAAAAAAAATGTGTATCAGTAAGATTAATTTTTTTAATGAAGAAGTTGGGATGAAGAATAATATTCAGACTGAGCATAAGTTAGAAAAACAAAAGTAAACTTACATCCTAAAATTTTGCATTTGTTTGTCTGAAGGGCTCCAATGAAATGCCATTTTATATCTTGAGGTAACTAAATATGATCAAGAAAAGAAAAAACACGTCAAAACTTTCTCATCAACTTATACTAATCTATTGCAAGAAAGAATATCTAACAAACCAATTTTGCCTTTTCAACTAATTCCGAAACATAATTTTCACCAAAATGAAGATGTTGAATGCCTTCATATAAACCTAAAATATCTGAAGCAGGTTTAAGTTTAGAAACAGCCACAAGTCTAACCTACTAATTCCAAAAGAGAAAAAAAACAAAAAGCAAAAAAAACACACCAAAAAAATAGATCAATTTTAAGAAGATTCACATCAACATTTGAAGTGAGTTACACTTACATTTCGTCCTTGAGCTGCATTTTGAACTTCTTCTTGAATTTTTTTAACATTAGTCATAAGTTCTTTTTTTCGAACCTCATCACACTCGTTTAATGAGATAGGTTCAACCATTCTTCTTTTTGATGAACTAGAAATAAACCTAATACAATAATGGAGTGAGGTTTGATGGTGATTTGAAGTATAATAAGGATTTGAAAGTACGCGATGAAGAGAGTGAGACATGTTCTTTTCTACCTTCAAGTTTTATTGTCTTAACCGGTCCTTTTGATTTGTTTGGTAACTCGGTGTGATCCGTAGTACTCGAGTGATCCATCCATGGTTTTCTCATGGCCGGGTCGGTCTTCCGTGGTTTTGCCCCGCGTCTAGAGATGCGATGAGCGGGACAAGCGTAACTCTTCTCGCGTTCATGACATTTGATCCTCGCGAATCGCAAGCTTGGCCTTTAATCGCAAAACTGCCAAGCTTGCGAGGCTTCGCTCATCAGTGCTAATTGAGCGATTTTAGCTAGCCTACCACATTATATTCCAAAGATCTTGGATTTTGGATCATCTCGCTACCTGGGAATGGATGACCGATATATGTATGTATCACACCCTCAGATGAGAAAAAACTAACCAAGAGTGTGAATTTGATGTCTACAGCATTTTATTCGACTAACAAATCATCAAATCTGCCTGCGTGATCTTCGAAATGCTCTTTTGGTTATTTTTAATTTAGTATACGCTCAGCTTCCAAATATGTACACTTGATCGTCTTATGTACCTCCGTTCACAATTCCTCAACAAGAATTGATCGGACCCATTTTGAAAGTTTATGGCATGTTTGGTGATTTAGAATCCGGTCCGATGGGTGAGTGTGATTACCAGTTTGACTGAATATAGGACTGAACAGAGACTACATGTGAGTATGTATGTGAAGGAAGGTGAAGGAAATATGTATAGAATTCCGGCTCCGGTAGTCCCTAGAAAAGTACGAAAATCCTATGATTCAAAAGTCACTATTATTATTAACAAAACTTGAGAAAGTCTGAAATTTGTTGGTCCCTGGAATGATGAATCTGGATTGAAGAGATGTCTTTTTGATTGTATTGATTTGATTTTCATTAGTACCCTCAATATTTTTTCAAGTGATTGTCTTTGTGTTTGTGTTTGTAAAGGTTGTTTCAATTGGATAGCGAACATGGTGAGGTTTGTATATATTAATTTTTTACATAAGATTGAGGTGGAGTTGATTAAGGGAAAGTAGGATGAGCTTTAAAGTTTGAAGAAGTATTTCTTTTAGAATCCCCATTTTAAAGCCCCTTCGTTTTAAAAGAGTTTGAAGTTGATGATTGACATTTTGGGCTGGAAAGTGGTGTACAATTGTTAAATCATGAATTTTTAGAAAATAAAGTTTGAATTTGTAAATACATAAAAATAAAAATAAAATGAAATTTAAAATCGATTTTTAAATGAATAAATTTAAAATTTACACTAAAACTTGATTTTAAATCCATTGAGCTGCTTCTGATTCTTTCGCTTCTTCTTCTTCCTTTTTTTCACAACAAAATTAAAATAAATAAAAACTCATTTCATCCACCACCTTTTCACCATCTTCACCATTCACTCTTCAGTTTATTTTTCTTAACTCTCCCTCTCTCTCTCTCTCTCTCCGCAAGAAATTTCCTGAAACATGAAGGAATATAAGGTAAACTTTTAATTTCATTCATTTCTCAATCAACAAATCATACAACCAAACTTATTATCTTTAACTTGACTTTTTTTTTTTCTAGATTGTCATTATGGGAGGTTAGTGATCTCTTTCATCAAGCTTTTTTTTAAACAAACATTTAACTTTGAACTTCGTTTCATCTCTTTTCTTTCACGTGCTTTTTGATCGATTATAGGAGGTGGTGTAGGTAAGAGTGCATTAACTGTTCAATTTGTACATGATATGTTTGGTGAGTGATTGCAATCAACTTCCAGAATACCTTTACCTCTAAACTTACCATACATTTCTGCTAGTCGAACGATACGACCCAACGGTTGGTCATCTTCTTGTCTCGTCAACCCATCAATTCTAGATTCCTGATCATCTTTATATCAGATTGAAGACTCTTACAGAAAAATCATCACAGTCGATGGAAACAAAGTCACCGTTGAGATCTTGGATACAGCTGGTACCGAACAAGTATGTATTTCAATTCCAACCACCTCTTTGAATCACAAGCAGAAGCTTACATCCTTTTCATTACCGTCTTTCTCCCGTCTTAGTTTGTCGCTCTACATTCTCTTTACGTCAAATCGGGTGATGGATTTCTTCTAGTCTTTGCTCTCAATACATTAGATTCGATTCACGAATTAGAAGCCTTACACGAATCGATTGTACGGATCAAAGAAGCCGAAGGTTATACTGAAAAGATTCCGATTGTCTTGTGTGGTAATAAGTGTGATTTAGAAGAACGTACAGTTCAAAGGTCTTGGGCCGTTGGACTTTCACAAGAATGGGGTGGTGTACCTTATTATGAGACCAGTGCTCGTAAACGAATCAATGTAGAAGAAGTGATTGCAGATTTGGTTCGACAGATCATCAAGGCTGATCGATTGGGTCATTTGAATTCTGCTCAAGGTCGTAATGGTCCGGGTGGAAAGAAACGTAGAGGCAAACGTGTTTCACCCAACGGAGGTTGTAGTATCTTATAAAACTATCATCAGAAGAAGATCTTGGCGGGGTTCGCTTTCAAGAAAGAGCACTTGGTGCAAATCCTTTATGTTTACCCTCTCGATGCTCTAGATGGATCTCGATCAACTCGTCTCTCTCTCTCTGGTCCGTGTTCAAAAAGTCCTTGACTTCTTTTACGTTTAGAACTGTTCAAATAGAAAGACAAGTCTACCTTCACGCCTATGTATAAACTTTTGGGTAGTCTTTTGGATCTAGATACTTGTTCAGTTCATGTCTTTTAACGATTTCTTATTTCTTTATCCTTCATATTCTTTATTTCTTCAATCTTTCATGCTGAAAGATATGTGATCTTTTTGATGCCATCTTTGAATTTTTTTTTTGCTACTCACTTCTTAAATGTTGATTGTTATCATGGCTCTTTTTTTCTTTGGTTTGGTTTGGTTTGGTTTTGTTTTCTTTAAAAAAATATTTAAATTCTGAACATACTTATCGTGTTGCAAACAAAAGCATGAACAATCTTTCCTCTTTTTCCTTCCCTGCCCTTCCCACCTTATCCCTGTGTTTTTCTTCTCAATTTTTATACTTGTCTATTTTTAACTTTTGTGTGTGTGTTGATTGATTTATATTTATCTATTTTCAATATATAAGCCTGACCCATCCTTTCTCAAAACTCTAACCCTGTTATTTTTTTCCTTTTTCTTTCTTTTGTTATTATAAATAGTAAACAAAAAAAACATTTTTAGTATCCTTTATATTGTCATATATATATATATTCATAAAGATGGATTTCATATTACCTTCTTTTTTTTTGGTTAGTTGAAATGATGTGGTTTGGTTTGGTTTGTTTCTTTTGTGTTTATAATTTGATTTTGATTATTTTCTATAAATATAAATAAATTTCATGATGATCAGAAAATTATAAATCATAAAAAACAAATGCCTTTTTTTTCTTGGTGGGTTTGAACTTTAGGGTTTGTTTTTTTTAACAAAACTTTTTGTTTTTGTTTTCTTTTGTTTTGGATTTTTATGCATCAGCTTAGCTTTGTTTTTTTTTGAAGGTTTGTGTTGATGAGATTTGTTTTTCTTTGGTTCTGGTTTTGATTTTTGGGTTTTTTTGGATCTAAGAATGAGGTTCCAATTAGATTTCAACTTGGGATGTATGTGGACTGATTTGGTATACATACTACTAGTACAGGTTTGTGGTCTTGTTTTTGTTTTGGTTGGTTTATGGGTTTGTAGTCCAAGCAGATGTGGAAAAGATATGTCACCCTTGGGTTCAGAGTTGGTTACACTTGGGTATATCACTGTGAGGGGTCAGCCACTTTTGGACCAACTCTTCACTTAAAAAGGTGAAGTAAGAATAGTAAAACTCTTCACTTAGTATACATAAGTGAAGACTACAGTTAGTTGACCTCTGAAAAGAGGATTTGCTGTCAGTGGGATGGATGAGCTGTGCTTCTTGGATCTGGCTCTGAGATCTGGTTGTTATAAATCTGGAGCCTGTAGTACTTTGTACTCTGGAATAGAGCAACCGATTTATAAATTCCAAGTGTGTTCTTGTAGCTACTTCTTCCACTATCTAAGAACACCACTTGATGTTCTATAAGGACCTAAACAATAAAGAACTAAGATCATCAACTTACAACAGGATCGTTTTACTCAATATTCTTGGTGAAGAATTAAGTAAGTTGTGACATGTAGAGTTGTGTAATGATATCAAACTTGGTTCATCCTCTAGAGTATGAAGAAGATGAGTTTATATGATCCAGGTCTAGGTGTTGACTTGTGCTTGGCGCGCTTGGGTTTGCTTTTCTTTGAGTTAGGTTTGGGTTAGGTTTGCTCTTACTAGTTAAGTCATGTTAAGTCTTGTTACTTAAAGTGACTCTTGATACTGAGCCATGAGGTGTAATTCTTATGTGTTAGAATATAAGCATACTAGCATATTTCATATTCAGATTGATTTCAAACACAACTGGCACTAACCTAAATCACCATCAAAGATCATGGAATATACCAGTACATACTAACTGAACCTAGTTAATCAAAACCTAATCTATCTCATCATTGTACGGTATCTGGTTGTGATCACTCCTTCCCCACACACACCTCTCTTCCTCACCAGTTATACTGAGGAAGATTGGTGTGTAAGCAGCTTTCAACAATATTCTCATTTCTTCTTCTTTATCAAATTATCAATTACTTACACATCATCTTGTCTAGATTATCTTATGCATTCTTGTGTTCACCTTTTTATAGGTGTGTTACTATTTTTGTCTCCAGTGTTCAGAACCATGAAGACTAAGCCTGATTGCTAGATTTACCAAGGTTTGTTATCTATGCTGTAATAAATACTCACCAGTTATACTGAGGAAGATTGGTGTATTATGTTACACATTCTTGTGTTCAGCTTTTTATAGGTGTGTTACTATTTTTGTCTCCAGTGTTCAGAACCGTGAGGACTAAGCCTGATTGCTGGCTTTACCAAGTGTTGAGTTTCTTTAGATTCTCTCATTATGGTTTTAGACAAGTCTTACATATTTACATATGTATTACATATATTTACATGTGTGTTTGTTAGTCTGTGGTCTTGTACACAGGGCTCAGGTCTGCCAGTCAACATGCAGCACAAGTTAGATTCCCTGAAAATCTCTTTCTAAAAACAGCCTTTGAGCAAATACTGGTGGTGTGCCAGCAATCAACACAGCTTGTGAAGACCCTGATCACAGCAGTTTTGATATTCAGGGAGTTATCTGGTGACATCTAATGACCTTTTTTTCTTCTTTTCACTTTATTTACATCTGCATAGCCAGACTTAGTTAACCTAACCCCAAACCAAAATGTCTGAACAACCCAACCGTAATGTCACAAAAGTCAAATTTTTGCTTAATATTGGGCCTAAATTCTGACCATTTCAATTACATTTTGACCAAAATGTCAAATTCTGACCATTTTTGACACAAACATAGGTAGCATCAAGGGTCAAATTCTAACATTATTCATTAATTACAAGCCTTCATAGGTGCATTCATGGGTCCCCTCACAGCAACTTTGTTGGAAGAAATCAAAAGCTTTCTGAAGTCACCTGCAGAGTCTCCTGCCAGCTTGGATCCTCCAACTTACTGGGCATTGGTTGAAATTAATGAGGCATAGTGGATATTTCCGCTGACCAGAAGGGTGTGGAACCAGTGTTGGCAAAATTCTGAACTTCAACCCAAAAAAATATTTTGGTGGGCTGGAAGTACATAGTTTGAGAATAAAAAAAACTATATGAGAAGTAATATACACATATATACACACTGTACACATCATACACTATCCCCAAGTGGACCTGGGAAAATGATGATTATTGTAGTTTGTCATCAAAAGATCTATCACTGCACACCTGAGCCATAACACCCACACTAGATATGTGCAACAAGCTGAGTAAATTATTGGCTATCATGTACATACAGGTCTGCTCAGTTCCCTACTCATCTGAACAAGTAAATCACATGTGATACATCATATAACTTTTTCCAGTTTGACAAAAGAGTCCTAAAAATTGACTACAGATACCTCCATAGCTACTCATGCAATACTCTGAAAGCCATTCAACAGGTTTAACAGAAAGGGTGTTACATGAGGTTTAGTTGATGAAATTACACCAAAACTGTGAGTCAGTGTTTGTAGTCAATTTTTGGAATGCTTTTGTCAAACTGAAAAAATACAGAAAGTATTACTTATGATCCACTCATTCAGATGAGCAGGGAACTGAGCAGACCTGTATGTACATGATAGCTAATAATTTACTCAGCTTGTTGTACATATGTAGTGTGGGTGTTATGGCTCAGGTGTGCAGTGATCAATCTTTTGAAGACAAACTACAAAAATCATCATTTTCCCAGTTCCACTTGGGAATAGTGTATAATGTTTACAGTGACAGTAGTTTTAAAAATATTTGTCACAAATTTTTTGTCAAGCAGGAGCCTGCAGGAGCCCAAGCCTGGTGGTTGAGCATTTTCAATTAAAATCAGTGCCAAAGCAAAACCAGATTCAGAAAAAGAAGTAAGAAGGGTGTGCGCAAGTATGTTATGTGCAAATGGTATCCTGATGCTGTGTGGGCTCAGCTTGATTTGGATAATCTCTAGATCACCATCCAATTGTGATTGGAAATGCTCAACCACAAAGCTTTTGGGCCTCTAGCATAACAAAAGATTTGTGACAAACATTTTTGAAACTACTGTACTTACTTTGAGTACCGTTTAGCTTAACACAAGCCCTCTCTGCACGGCCACATCTACGGGCCTTGCATACTCCGGATCAAATCTTCAGTTGTTGTACAAGCTTGCGGAGCTGGAGAAATTGGTCTGCTTTTAGTAATATTGTGATACAAAGTTCTTCATGAGTTCAAAAATTCCACATACTAATGGAATATTGTTGGAAATAATATTCATGGGTGTTTCAATATCTGTGCCATTCCCCTTGAAAGACATCAACCATCAGAGATACAAGTAAGGTCTAAGTGCTGCAAGAAGCCAGACTCACCAAACAATTCTAAAAGGATTTCAGACAGAATTTAACAGGAAGTCTAGCTACAAAATGACCCACCCTGTCCCTACTTGAGACTGAGAGTGAGTGAACTGAGAGTGAAATTAGTTGTAGGTCACGACTGTGATAGTAAGTATACAGTCAGTAGTGACGTACATAAGATCACGCTCCGGGGTTTGGAATTGTATTGCTTCAACCTCCTCAGCTTTTCGATCATCAAGTCTCAATTCACCAGAAAACGAAATCGAGACTACATAGCAAGATCCATTCGAGCACTCGAATAAACAATAGTATCATCACGAGATGACAATATCGAATGGCTTGGATTCAAACATCTCCCTTCTCTCTCGTATCAGCTCAGATGGACCGAGGCAATCAAATCAAATCAAACTGTTACTCACCTCAACCAGTCAAAGCTGTCTTGTTAGAGTAAATCACTCAGTACCACTACGGGAATTCATCGAAACCTTTTTAAGTTATCATCCTGCTACACAGTTCCCTCCAGTCAAACATCATACCTCAAAACACGATTCACTTTATCTTGAAGATGTTGAAGTTGCAGCAGATTGGTTTAAAATGAATATAGATCATTATCCTCAAAATGTTGATAAGAAATTAGAATCAGAACATCTTTCCATTGTAATGACTTTTATAGTTACCATCATGTTACCGATTGAGCTTATTGAATTACGTTTGATTCTTTTAAAGTCTTCAATCTTTGAAAGATTTGATCGGTATGTTGTTTTTCAAAAATTCACAATCACATTTTCAAATCACTTACAAAATCTTGTTTTTGTTTCTCAATAGATCAATGCAAATTCTTTTAAAATTACAAATCGTTTCTTCATATATTTCTATTGGAGAACTTCCAAATGCCAAGATCTTTCTCAACAAGATGGTTTCACGATCAAACAAATCTTCGAATATTCCTGAATTCAAAACTCTTCAAGATTGTCTTTCAAATGTTAAACTAGAATTGCCGGTTTCAGAATTTCCGCCGGAAAGCAATAGTAGACAGATTACCAGTAGTCCAGGCATCATTGATAGCTTTGTAGATGAGGTTCATGATGTGAAAATTGAAGAAGATGAGATTGACACAAAGCCTAGTTCAGATCAAATCCACACTCCTGCTCAGTCCTCAAAGAACCGATATGGTACTCCAGATGATAAGCCATCACTTAACACTATATCAAACAGCTTTGCTAGTCAGGGTCCGATTGTGATAAGTGATGACGATGATACAAAACCCGACTTAAATCTGATTCAAGGTCCTAGGCGATCTTCCAGAAAGCGACATGTTACTTCAAATGATGTTAAACCTTCAATCGACACTATATCCCAGCGTTCTAAACAATCCTCCAGGAAGCGACGTGGTACTTTAGATGATGAAGACGCTTCAGTAAACACTGCATCCCACAGTTTATCTAATCAGAATGAGGTTATGGAAATTGATGATGATTTAAGCGATTCAAAACCTTTCAAAAAGCAGACAAAACGTTCTAATCAATCCACCAAAAAGCGACGTGTCACTCCCGATGATGAAGACGCTTTAATCAACACTACATCCAACAGTTTATCTAATCAGAATGAGGTTATGGAAATTGATGAAGATTTAAGTGATTCAAAACCTCTCAAAAAGCAGAAGAAACGTCCTAAGCAATCCTCCAAGAAGCGACGTGTTACTTCCGAAAATGACGAAGCTTTAATCAACACTACATCAAACGGTCTCTCTGGTCAGAATGATGTTATGATGATTGATGAAGATACAATTGATTCAAAACCTCGGAAAAAGCAGATCCAACGAGCAAAGGAGCGTATCTTAATGAAGAAACGACACTCTTCAAATAATAACAATAGACCTAAACTCAATGATATAATTAGTCGAATGTCTGAGCTTATGGAAGAACTACAAAAGTCAAAAGGTGTCTGTAAGTTTTCTTGATTTTTTGACTTTAAGATTTCAACCAAACTGATTTGACCAAATTGATTTAATTTTTTCAGCTAAAGATGAGTGCAAAGAAATGTTGAAAACACTTGATGATAGACGTTACAAGATTCGAGCCGCCAGAGTTACCAAAAAAAATACTGAAGTCAAAGATAGTGATTTTTATATGGGCACTTATCGAGTCTATCGAGAATGGTGTGCTGAGCATCGATTTTCTGAACTTCCAATCACATTTGACAAAGTTTTTTTATGGGCTGAATTATCTTTAAGATCATATGCAGTTCATGATCTTAAAATGGAGCGTAGGATTAGAGAATTAGATTGGTTTAGAGGTCAAACGATTTCTATGGGATCTGATAAACGTTCTTTCTGGCCGGATTCATTTTGGATAAAGTATTTTGATGATGAACGATTTCCTCATTTCTTCTTAACCAAATGTGACTTTCCTCGTAGGACCGCTTATCCTAGAGATAATTTAGAACTAAACAATTCATATCCAGCACCCATGCCACCTCAACGCCAAAGACCACAAGCTTCGTCACCTCGACCTTCCACCAGTCAAAGCCCTCAAAGACGTCTCAAGTCCGAAAGTAGATCAGTTAGTTGTGAATTGATTCCTGATGTGGTGATTTTGGATGATCAACACTCTCCAGAACCAATAGATTCAAAAATTACACTTGAGAGTGATCGTGAAAGCCGTCAAGATATGGAAGAAGCAAAATATTTAATATCTGCTGATACTGTGCCCGAACCAATCAATAAAATCGACTATGAATCTCTCAGAAAACCAAAACATATTAGTAAGCAAAGGTCAGCCATTATCAAACAACTTCAATGGGAGTCTCAAGGTAAGTAATCATCATTATATGCAAAAGCTCTGATCGCTCTGATTATTGATCATATCTATCCTTCTTTTATGCGGAACAGGTGTGATTGTTAAACATGAGTTATTTGCGAATGCGTTTTGGAAATACAAGATAGATGGAATCACACCACTTGAGAAATTTGGAAAAAGAGAAGAGAGTAGAAGAGTATTGAATCTTTACCTTGAATACTGTGAAAGAAATCAAATCATGGCTTTACCATTTACAAACATCAAAATCAATTTATTTTTTATTCAAGACCTTCATCATTTAGCTTCATCAACCACAAGAAATTATTTAAGATATTTATGTCACACGATTGAGATTATCAAGATTATCATACCTCATTTGGCTGGTGATTCGATTGATATAGATGAAATTAGAGGAAGCAAACTTTGGAAAAGATGGTTAGCTGAAAGAGAAGAGTATGATCAATCAAAAAAATCTGGCAATCATCCTTCTCAATGATGTATGTATTGGTGAAAATTATTGGTTGTACTTGTAGTCTGATTAGTCTTTGGTCTCTGATGGAATTCTTTGATCAACTTTGCTTAAATTGTTTTCTTATTGGAAGTCGTCACGTTTGCTCAGAATAATTAAAAATTGTGATTCATAAAACGGATCTCTTTGCTCATTGCTGAACCTCCTTGAGAATCTGTCAGCTCCTCCGAAGAATTTAAATTGGGACTCCCATAACCCAGTTGCTTATAAAATCTAATTGCATTGGTTGAAAGTGCGATGGTTTTGTCACATTTGGTTCTATTATTTATTCTGATTCAGACAGCACCATGAAAAAGGTGAAAAGATCCTTGAGCTGTAGTGCCCGTTTGCAATATTTATCGAACCTGTTTTGATATTCTCAATTGGGTATCATGATCCTGCAGTAGCTCGAACTGATCATCAAAATCAGTCAACATAATGTCGAAAGAACATGTATTTGCATCTTGTCCTAGAGTTCGATATGAATTGTCAGCGCAAGATTAACTTGACCTACTCAAGGTCTTCATTCTGGCGAAGTGAGTAACTAAGAGTTCGATGATTTTCTTGGACCAATAATTTACTTGGGCCCTTTTTTTGCAAGTTGCGAAGCTCAAGGTAACTAGAAAAATAGAGCTTTACAAAAAGCTTGCCAGCACTCATGTCAATCTGACTACGCTAGTCAATCAATACCGTCATTGCCACCCTCTTTCATTATGGCAAACGATGACCGACAAGGACTGACACCCTTACATTTGGTATATGAAATGCTCAGTCTTCTTCAGGAGTTGACAACAACTTGAGCGCGGCATAAAAAACCTTCGTGGCACTTGAACTCAGTCTAACTTGAATCCTGACTTGGCAAAAGACAGCATGCCTTGGAATTTGGCGAGCCCATTTAGCTTTCACACTTGAGCTTCTATATAACACCGCTGTAGAAGCCTTCGCTTAGGGAATCCAATCACTCACTTCTCTTTTCCTTGCCACCAAGCTTTCTCAATCTTCGTTTTTGCAATTTGTTTTAGTTTTGCTTAACGCTGAGCGTTCTTTCTCAGTCACATCAATTTGTTACACCTTATCATCTAGTTAGACCTTTCAAAGACAAAATCGTACCAAAATGCTTTCCACAACTTACGTTTTATCTTGCGCTGTCCTCGCCGCTTCTAACTCTATGGTCTCATCCACGCCTTTCCCACAAGCTCCAATGACAGGCTTAAACTCGAATGTATGTTATCTTCCTTTTATTTAGCTAGGTCTTTTATTGACATCTTGTTTTCATATCAAGGTCGGAACAACATCATCGCCTTCGACGCTTGGGACCACTTCGACGCTTGGATCTAGCTCTTCGCTTGGTACCGCTTCTACCTTGCCGCCCACCTCTTCGTTTGGTACTACCTCTTCGTCTCCCTCCCTCTCTACGCTTGGTACCACTTCTTCTCTACCTTCCAGCTCTTCGGTTGGGACCACTTCGCTTGGCGCTGCTTCTTCGCCTGCCACCACTTCTACGCTTGGTACCAGTTCTTTCGGCGCGCCCCCTCCATCCGGGACCACAATTTCCGGAACTGCAAATAGCTTGACTGGAACCCCACCGGGATACACTCCGATGACTTCAACCAGCACCCCTTCTGGTGCAATTGGCAGCCCTCCTTCAGGGTCTTCGCCAATCACCCCGGGTAACACTCTCACATCTCCTACCTCATTCGGGTTGAATGCGAGTAGCGGACGGAATGCCAATCTTGGTGCCTCGGGATCTCTCGTCGCCGCTAACCAGACCATGCCGGTGAGTAGACCTTTGTATACCCTTCTCTAGTCCAATTTACTAACGCAACCACGTTGAATTCGTTTTTTCAAATGTTAGGGTATGGCTTCTCGAGCCAGTGCGTCACATACCGTCGCTGGAGTAGCCTTCTCCCTGATAGCTACTTGTGCAAGTGTGCTTTTGGTATAAATCCATCTCTTTTTGTCCTGGGCTTCCTTCAGAGATTCGACTCGAAATCGAGCATCTCATTTCTCATTTCTCATCTCTTTCTCTCTCTACGCAAATCTTTCATCATAATTTGGTGTAGATTAGTTTGTTTATATTTGGTTACTTTTCGGACTTGAAAGTCAATCTTTTCCTTTGTACAATCACAATAAAACACATTTTCAAAACAAAACAGAACGATAATTGCGATATTACACAGTACACATCGATGGGTGAGATTCTACTTTGTATTCGTATTGTCGAAATCGGGATCATCAGAAGAGACTTTGATCTTTTTGGTGTCCGGTTCCAGTAACAGTGTTTCATCAGACTTTGACGAGTCATTTGACCTCTTTGCATGGCTCGAAACTTTGACATCCACGTCGCGAAGCAACTCATCTGCTTGAGAATCTATGACGCAGGGCGTATCCAGAGGCATCAGTGGGTGACCACCTATAAAGACAGCTTGTGATAGGTCTCACCACTTTTGGTACTACCTGAACAAACAGGCTTTGGTTCATCCACGTTGGGTTTGAGGGAAACCTTGTCGACTACTTTTGGTTTCCCAAAAAACGAAGCGATGTTACCTTTTCTTTCGGAGACAGGCTATCCACAACGAAGAGTATCAAGGTTAATTTCAGGTCTCGCCCAAAGCGCATATAGGCCAACTAACCTTGATGAAATCTGCGCTTTGGTTCCCAACTTTTCCGACTTCTTTGGGAACGGCATAAGAGACCAATCCATCCGGTTCCTCAAACGGCTTCAACAAACCAGCCAAGCCACTGGACCATGACTGATCAGAAGTATCTAGCCATTGTTCCATTTCTTTCACGCTTGGAAGAATCACGGGCATTCGATCATGCAGCTGAAGGATTGCTCAGGGGATGATTTTTCGTAAGTACAAAGGCCACTTCAGATTGGTCACTTCACTTACAAATGATAAGTATGAGTTTGAACTCGTGGTGATTATGGTGAAGGTATGAAGCGGTTTATCTTCACCCTTGAATCTGCAAAGCCGTTTGAATTGTAAGTTTCTTGTCTGCGGCTATGCAAATGAATCAGCTTCTCGTCAGCTCAACTGCACTGAATCCCATAAGCCGGCTAAGCACATCAGTCGTCCATCCTTCCGTTTAGTAAAGTAAGGTGTCTTCTCTTTGTTTTTGGTCAACCATTCATAAAATCTGATTTTAGATATCACATTAGCGTGTCTCCTTGGTCGCTCTCATTTTATACATCAACAAACTTACCCTTCACAAATGACTATGCAGCGTTTCTTTGATTTGACACTGCTCCACAAGCCTTTGCTCTCGAGTACCTTGTCGTCTCTGGCATTGATCGTGTTCATGAGATTCCCTGTAGGTAAAATGATGGTAAGCAGGTGAGTTGATGACAGCGGAATGAAAAGGTTTGAAAATTCATAACATATCAGCCTGCTTCTCACCGTGAGTCGGCTGGGATGATTCGAGAAAAAATTGTCAATACAACTTTGTAAATGACACCCTAAGAAGTAAAGAAATTATTACGTGGAGTTTGACATACCGGAGCTTCTGCCCAATGCGGAACCAGTCCCCATTGCTATCAGGAAAGTCAGATTTGATGGGCCTTATTTTATTGCGACATCTTCGAGAAAATCATTATGCGTGAGCGCACCATCCAATCCATAGCCAGTGTCGCGTCATTAGGATTGCTTCGACGGATCGTAGCTGCCCTATATAGCATACACAAGTCGTCAATCGGTTTAGTCAAAAAAGCGCCTTGATATCTGTTGATCTCTGCATACAAACCTCGTTTTCGGTGCCACATTGTAGTTAGGACGATACTGGTCCTCATCTAACCATTCTTGAACTTGTAATTGGACTTCTCTCAGATTGATCTCCAGATTCTCGCGGCTCAATGATAACGCAAATCTGACATCGTCACCAAGATATCAGTCGTAAGTAAATTGTCACCTCTTCAGAAGACCCAAATAATATCAGCCAGCTCAGATGACGTACCTGCCGCACATGTTTCCAGAGCGCCTATGGACCGGTGTAAAGTAAGGGTGGGGCGCGTTATTCAGACCAAAGACGCGCACCTTTCTTTCATCAAGTCAGTATCCGGTCCGGAACTCGGGTATTCCAGGCCAAAACTCGGTCCTGAAAATATGACCACTGCTTATTTTATTCCTGAAGAGATTTTGAAGTACTGAAGTCCACGCCTTCAACAAATCACTATCAAATCTGGATCACAGTTCAATGGATCAAGAAAGTGAGAATTTTGTTCCAACTGAAATATGGTTAAGAAAACATCTGTCTGAGATATTCAAAGAATTCATAAAAAGTTTATCATCAATCATTCCCACTGAATTTGGCCAACATATCAAGGGCCAGGCGCAGCCCAGATTCTTGTGCGTTGTTAAAATAACAGGTCTTCCACTTTAGGAGTGGTTTTTGACAATGAGATTGGCAAGGAGCAGCATACAAATTACGCTGGAGTTGATGCTTAGATCCAGCTTGGGACTCATTTAATTTTGGATATCATCTCACAAAGTTCATGGAAAGAGGCAAAGTTGAAATAAAGTGCAATTGAACATTGTCTCAAATGGGCAAAATCCTGAAGATCAAACAGAAATGATTTCTTATCTTGTCAACGGGTTTCATTAATGATACCTTTGTTTCAGCGCAACCAATTTGTAGAAGAGCGTGATCAAGATAGACTGATGTTTGCCACCAGTTTATTCCATTCATATGTGCACGAATGGTCCTGCAAACTTGAGTATAATCCTTGACTAAATGAAGCATGGGGCCTGTCGGATGGGGAAGGGTTGGAAAGGATTTAGAGTCTTCTGGCTGTTCTCCGTTCTAGTTTGCATCTTGAGATATTCCACCAAGCAACACCGGCTTAATGCTTTGAAGTTTATGGCTATGCATATAAATGAAAAAGGACAAGCTCAAACTCAAACCGTAATCTCACAAAATCTTATTGCTGATAAAATTATTTTTTTCCAGTGAAGTTTTTACTTGCTTGACAGACAAAGGCATCCAAGCAAATTGAAGTAGTTCAGAGTGACTTGCGGTGCTTGCAACAGAAGAGAGGCTGGGATTTGGTGTACTATCAGCAACAGTGGACACGGAAGAGGAATGCGCAGCTTGAGGCTATCAGCAAAAAACGTAAGAGGTATTTGGATGAGCTTGCTGAACTTCTAGACCTTGAAGAGAAACTGGTTGAGGCAGATTACATCCATATTGCCTATTTTAATGATGTCATAAGTAGATGAATATATCATTATTTACTCCTTATAGGGCCAAGTTTCAAGCCTTGCAAAGGCGTAAATGGAGATCAAGGAGAGATAGACGTCAGGAAAGGAAAGTTCTTGCAACTCCACGCTCATTAGTGCATCTTGAAGAAGCTATACTCAGGCTGACTCAAAAGATAAACATCTGTCTGAGATATTCAAAGAATTCATAGAAAGTTGATCATCAATCATTCCCACTGAATTTGTCCAACATATCAAGGGCCAGACGCAGCCCAGATTCTTGTGCGTTGTTAAATTAACAGGTGTTCCACTTTAAGAGTGGTTTTTGACAATGAGATTGGCAAGGATCAGCATAAAAAATACGCTGAAGTTGGTGCTTAGATCATCATCCAACTTGGGACTCATTTAATTTTTGGATATCATCTTACAAAGTTCATGGAAAGAGGCAAAGTTGAAATAAAGTGTAATTGAACATTCTCTCAAATGAGTAAAATCCTGAAGATCAAACAGAAATGATTTCAAAATAGTAAGGCAATCTAAAGGTCCAGGAATCCACCTTTTTTGTCTCCTTACTGTAAGATTCCAAAAGAAGAAGTCTTCACTAGCCAAGGAGCATTGGGAGCAAGGAGCTTCATGAGGGCAATTTAAAACCCTTTTATCAATTCCAAACAAAACACTATGTAGTAAGTTCCAACCAAAAGTATTTGGTCAATCAGTTCCTAGCTACTATAATACAGTGAGAGATAGGGAAAGATAAATAAGATAATAATGAGTGAATTGATGTGCTCACCTAGCTCCAACCAAAAGTATTTGGTAAAGAAAAGTGGCCTCTCAGCCAAAGGAGTTGGCCACACTTGTAATGAATCAAAAAGGACACTCTTCCCAAGTTGATCCATCATATAATCTTTCCAGTTGTAGTATACCTCCACCATGATACTTTTCACATTACCAACAAATCAAACATGATCAAACCACCAAAAAAAACCAAAACATCTCAAAACCAAATCTGTTGATATGTGTCTGAATTTCAATTAAATAATAATCTATTGCAAGCAAAAGAGAGACAAAGAATCATACTAGCTCAACAGATCAAAATTGTAAGATAAAGAGAGTAAAGAAGAAGAAGATCTGATGAAGAAAAAAAACAAATTAAAACTAATTAAGAAAGATATGGAAATGCTTGATGATAAAAAGACTAATGAGACATACACTTTAGAATTCAAAAGAAGAAATTCATGAAGAAAGCAGATCAAAGGTTTAAATGTTACAAGGTTGTACAATCACTTCATCAGTTTCATCATCATCATCATCATCATCAGATGAAGAAGAAGCAGAAGAAATCGAAGAAGAAAGGTCTGGATGATTTGAAATTGATGGATGATGATGAGAACTTAATCTGAGCATTGAAAGTACAACTAAAACAATTACCATCAAAAGAAGATCAACTACTAAAAAGCTTTCTGAGAATCTACCTACTGTTCCAGAAAACACTCCACCAAACAAAAACGGACCTAAAGATGAACCCCCCCAAAGTTCATTCAATCAATTCACAAAGAAAGAAAAAAAAGAAAATTGACAAAAAAAAACTTACCTAAGACTTGAGACATAAGTACTTGAAGTATGGAAAATGAAGCAATCACTTTTCCAATCTTTTCATGAGTTACACTGTTCAGTGCTAAAGCTTGAAGAGCAGAACTTGTTGAACCTGATAAGGATTGCATACCAGATCCAATGATGAACCATGAGATTGAGGGTGAGATTATCAAAATGATAATTGATAATCCATCCCATATGATCGAATATCTTGCAAACTTTAAATCAAATTCTATTTTTTTTTGTCAGAAGTTTGGGTCAGTTTTTAACTCGGTTGATTTTTTTTGTTGGAAAGAAAGATGGTAAGACTTACTTGCATCATTTAATGTTTTACGATGGTTAGGTAATGGATTAAGTTTAGGAATCGAAATCGTGATGGGTTCAGGTTGAAGTTGACTTTGACCTAATCTAGAACTAGAAGACAATAATGAATATTTCTTATTCGAAGGATTTATTACAATTGGTCTAGATGAAGGTGATTCAAGATTGACGACTGTTGTTGATTTTTTCCATAATCGGATCACCATAGGTATAATAACCAATAAAGCCATCACACGACAAATTCCTAAAGTGGTAAGGAAATAACCTGTTTGGATAGGACCCCATTGGAATCTGAAAATAGCGTACTACGAAAAAAAAAAGATAAGTTCATGAGCTTAGAACTTTGGAAAGAAAAGAAAGTGAATTGTTGAATTCGAGCTTAACTTGTAATTTAATTCCATAAGCTCCAGCACCTGAACCATATAAAGCATAAGCCATGCCAATCAAAGTTAGTTTCCAATCTCTAATTGGATTTTGACCGTTTTGATCAATCGATTTAGTAGGCCATAAAACTAATAAAGGTTTTAAAAAATTAAGATATAATTTTCTAAATTGATAAAAAGATAATCTAGTATGATAAAAATGAATTTTTGGATGTAGATTGTTTTGATTGATTGATTGATTGTAAGAGATTTCTAATTGATTAAGAACAAGTTGATGTTGATTTTTAAATTCGATTTGTTTAAGTTTAGAAAGACTTTCAGGTATTACATAAAGACTAAATCCAAAAACAAAGATCAAAAGAATTAAAATAATATAAAATGGTAATAAGATATCATCTTTTAAATCTACAATCTTTGAAGAAATCGTAGGTCCAATAGCCATTCCAGCCATCATTAAACCAAGAAACAAAGAAAAAGTAATGGTTTTCGAATCAGAATTTAAACTAGGATCTTGTAAAAAACAATCCGAAATATATGAATTAAAGATTGCTTGAATCGTTGCAGGTCCTCCAAAGAGACCTTCTAAGATTGAAGGAATAATCAATAATTTATAATCTTTTAAAATCTTAGATCTCATTAAACTAATGATCAATAAAAAACTTGCATCATTTAAAATAAATCCAAAAAATCCTAAACTTAAAATTAATCTTCTACCAATCCTTTCAGAGATCGAACACCAAAAAGCCGTCGTAAGAACCGAAAGTGATCCCATCACCAATGAAATCGTACTCGAAAGTAAACTAACTTTAGAACTAACCAATGGATCTTTTCTACATTTCTTTACCCAATCAGAATGAGCATTCGTTAAGAAAGCTCCAGATGAATTAATTTCAGTTTCGAATTCTAGGTGGTTTGGTTTGTTCATCGAAATTGATCGACAGATAAGTTGAGTATGTATCTCTAACTTTGGACCGGTATTCATTCCGAGTGAGATGGCCATAAGTAAGAGAATCGGTACTAGCCAAAAGGCATGAGGTTCACGTTGTTTGATACGATTGATTGTATTGGAGATTGTGCTAGGATGGTTGCTTTGTGATAGTAAGGGAGTCGATTCATGGTGAGGTTTATGAGGTGAGGAATGTGGTGATAGTCCTGATGATGATGTTGATGATGATGATGAAAGTCGAGACATTGAGAGAGGGGACAAGGAGAAATCTAACGGTCAACAAGAGTGATGATAGCAAGTCAGGGATGAAGTTCAAAGTCAAGTAAGGACCACTTGTGAGATATCTGGTCAAGAGATTCAATTTTGACTGAAAGCGTTCTTAATTTCACTCAAAATGGATTCACCATCAGTCATGAAGTTGTCTCTTTATACGATTTTTAAAGATAATGAGATGGTGGTATCTATCATCTAACTCCTCACTTGAAGTTGAGTTGGCTTGAAGTCTTGATAGGCAAAGCTCTGAAAACAAAATACACGAGAATAGTGAATCAACTTCGCTTAAAGAACATGCACTTCGTCTCTTTAGCACTCTTAGATCAGTTTGAGTTGAAATTCAATAGACATGCATAAATTCAAGCACGCCTTCACTCATCATCATGTAGTGTGTGACTGTGAAGTTCTAGGGATGAAAGTCGAAACCTTATCCTTCTGTTTGTGAACGACTACATATTTTGAACTTGGCCATGGGCCTTTTAAATACCTTTCTAAAGATACCCAACTCGATGTATTCATGCACCCTCCCCCAAATGGAACTCAACAGGGAGCGTTTACTCTGGTGTGCGTATATTATTCTGACTGGGACTCATGAAAAGTCATGTGCTAATACACAAACTCAAAACCCAAAATCCTTGGACTCAACATAAGAACCCATAAACCCCATGAATTGAATTGAGAAACCTTCATCCTCAGACTCAATTTTCAAAACCCATCCAAAAACTTCCCAAAAAGAAACCTCCCAAACCTTCAACCCAACAAACTCGAAACCCCCAAAAGTTAAACCAGAAAAAATTATTATTATATCAATCAAATTACAAACCCAAGTCCCCCTCCTCAAACTCTCTAAACCAATATGTACCAACCCGATTCTTAGTTTCACTCAAACATACAAAACTTTCACTCAAACGTTCACTTCAACTTTATATTAAAATCATTTTCATGATCAAGATCCAGAAGAAGTACACTCTAACAAAAGTTTCATGCCAGGTAATTCACTACGTAGTTTACCTTTAAGTTGTTTAGGTCTAAACCTTGCAAAGGCTTTTCTTCTTAAATCACTCACTTCTGTTCCATCTCTATACCATCTAGAAGAAATCTATAAGAAAAGAAAAGAAAACCAAAAAAAGCAAGAAAAAAAGCAAAAAAAAAAAGCAAAAAAAAACTCATCAAAAACCCTATCCTTGATCTTCTATAAAAGGCAAATAGACAATCTTACATTAACAGCTTTATCTTTCAAAGAAACCCCAGTGCGATCCGAAAAAGTCTTGGAAACCGTTCCAAGAGGTCCATGTCGTTTCATAATCTGTGACATACAATCATACCTTTGATAATTCAATTCGACTTCCTTCAACAAAAGATCTTCTTCTTCTTTAGTCCAATGAATCCGATTAAACGATCTAAACTGATCTGGAAAATAACTTTCAGGTACTTCTTCTTCCACTTCTGATCCGAATTCATGTTTTGAAGCACTTGGGGTTTGGAGATAACTTGAACATAGTATACTTGTTAAGGGGATCTTGGGTTTCGTCTTTTTTGGATGACTACTCTTGAAAGCATCACGCGTAGTGGATCGAATGGATTCCAAAACGGCTGCTGCTCCTCCTCCTGCTCCTGATCCGTGTACATCAATACCTTTTGCTGAAAGCTGATGCCAAGAAACAAATGAAAAGCGGTCTTCTTTGGCTTCTTCTTCTTCTGATCGATTCAGTTTAGATGATTTAGCTGTACTTCTTTCACTTTCTTCTGATTCTGATTCTTCTGATTCATCTGAATTAGATCTTCCAGATCGGTGTTCATGATCACTAGTTGATTTACTTCGTTTTCTTGATGATCGGTTCAAACTCGATTTCATTGGATTCAGACTTTCGCTTCCTTCAAATTCTAAACGTTGTAGTAATGGATGAACATTAGGATCAGAAGCCATCAAAACCGATTCAGATCGTTTAGGACTAGCTGAAGCCCTCGTTCGAGTCTTGCAAGCTGTGGTGATCTCACTTTGGATCAACAAAGCTGAGATCGATGAACTTGGACGTCGCATCCAACTACGAGAAGGATCAGTTTGAGCTTTGGTTCGTTTAGGAGGATTGACCATCATTCTTTCAGATGGTTCGGTTTGACAAAAAGAAGTAGAAGGAAATGGCATTGGATTGGAACAGTTGGTCGAATGAATGTCTTGGGATAAAAGCATTTCAAGTTCTGCTGGAAGATCTGAATCTTCAAAATCTCTAGACAAATCTAGTCCAAAAGGTAAGCCCTCAGCCGAAAGCCTTCGAGCGATAGATGGATGAGATATATGGGATGGCCTATCTTGCATTCTCATGCCGAGTTGTATGCTTAGGGGATCAGATGAACCGAATCGGGAACTTGTGAAAGGTTGTGGTACAGGTTTGAAAGAATCGACTTGCATCATCTCATCAGTCGTTGACAAATCATTATGAAGACGAGGATCGATGAAGAGATCAACAGATTCATTAGAACCGACGTGAAGTGGATTCGCAGTATTCGTGTCCTGATGATCGTTCGAGCTATCAGAAGCTTTGTGATGATGTGTAGTCAGACCGTCTGGGTGATCTTCGTGTTGTAAGCAAGCTCTTGCTGCTTTGAAGAGATCTTCGTTATTTAGAATATGTGAATCGACTTGAGAATGATCATGGTTCAGAGTCCTTTCAGAAAGTGATGAGAGGTTGAGTGGTGATTCGATGGGATGGTGATGGTTGGGATCATCTTGGGTGGGTTGTTGTGATACCATTTCAAAGATTTGGGATTGAAGGATTCGTTCTAAAGCCTGGACTGTTTCGCTATGTTCAAATAGTGTAGTTCTAAAAAGAAAAGAAGGTAAGGCAAGTTAGGATGAGTTCGATTACTTTAACGCACAAACTTGCCACTCGAAGTGAATGAACTTTGGGATGTGATCTAAGAGAGAAGGGATTGTGATGGAATGACACTTGCTCATCTGATCCAGTCAGTCGATCGAGTGTCTGATCTATAGCATAATGAGATCCGGTATCCTGTGTGCTTGTAGATAAGATAGACCGGGTTTGAAGAGAGCGGGTTTGCTGACGAATAGCTTCTTGAAGTGCATGATCAAGCCCAGCCTATTGAAAGACCCAAGAAAAGTGTCAGCCATCCAACCGATACTGATAGTAAGATTACAGATTGTTGAAATACCTGATCATGTGAAAGATCACATAATCGAATAGGATGATAATTGATATTGTCTTTTTGAAGTGTGTTGGTGATTGAATTGGTATTAGTTCCCTGAAGTGTCTCTATCAGTCCTCGATCTGATCCATTGGAAGTATCTGTTAAAGTCAACAAGAAGATGATGAGAGAGTGAGTATTGAGCTTTAATGAAAGGAAGAAGTCCGATTCAGGAAGAGATATTGTTAAACTGACGGTTTGGGCTTGATTGGAAAAGGTTATCATTTGAAGTTGAATATGATTTTGAGATTGAGATTGATTGTGAGGATGATGATGATGATGATGATGAAGGTGAAGTAGTTGAAGTTGAAGTCATTAAAGAAGGTCGAATGTTTTCTGATCGAATTGAATTTTTTTCAGGGATAGGTTAATACCAAAATCGAGGTTGGGGTTAATTCAAACTTCAAAATACAGATCACAGCAGTGAATGCTGTACATGTTCAGTCATCACTTTGGTCTGTGAAATCTCATGTGATAGTCCTGATAACCTTTCACAAGATCTGCAGATGAATGAATGTGGAATGTGCATGATAACAATGTGTTTACATATGCAATCGAATCCTTACAAAGGAACAATCTCTTTCTCTTTCAATTTACATATCATCCCCTTTAATCATTTCCTACTTGCCTTTATTGTAAAATCATCATTCTCATCAACTCTCAATCCCTCATTCAATCAAACATCCCCTCAAAGTCAAAGTACCATCGATCAATCCAATCTATAACACGCGATCAATCTAAAATGAATTCAGGAAAGTCATTGACACAATACGTTTATAACGAACAAGATATAAGAAACTTGGTCGGATTAGATTCAAGTTTAGAAATCCTTTCACGTATTTCAAAAGATGGATTCAATCAATCAGTTCAATTACAAATCCTTTTATCATCTAAAAGTAAAGTTTATTTTGTTGAATCTGAAGCAGCTATCAGTTTACGTGAATTCTTAACGAGTTTTATTGGTGATTCAAATCAAATCCTTCAAAACTCCTCTTCATCTTCAACTGTAACTTCAAATCGTCATGCGATTTTGTTTGAAAATGAAAAGAAATTCTTGAATGATATTTCAGTGGCTATGGATTGGTTTAATATTCAAATCGAATCATGGCCTGAAAATTTAAATAAAAAGTTAAAAACTAAACATTTTTCGATTGCTACGACTTTTTTGGCGATTTGTATGATTCCTATACAACTTACTCATTTAAGGTTTATGATTTTAGAATCTGATATTATTGATCAATTTAGCGAGTAAGTCATTTCCATTCATTCTTGATGATATCTTATTAATGCTGATTTGATGGTTTTTTTTTGGTTTACTATATAGACCTATGCAGACTCTTTTAGCGCTACAAATGGCAGGTTCTTATATCTTATCAGAAAAATATTCAGATGCATCTGATTGTCTTTTGAATACATCATCAATTTATCAAGAAATCCAAAACTTTCCAGAATATAAAATGTTAGAATTAACCATTAAAGTTCATGAAGAAAGACATGAAAGTTTAGTAGAGAATTCGATCAAGTTAACGAATTCATCTGATTCGATGGATTCAATGCTTAGTACTAATTCAGAAGGAGTAGATGGCATGACTGAATCGAGATCTCCTTCTCCTACTTATGAGACTTCTCAATCTACTTCTCAACTCTCGACTACTGAAGAACAAACCTTTAGTCCGTTCTTAAATAGTATTTTGAATTATCCTGAAGAGACTTTGAGAGAATTGAGGGAAGAGATGGCACCAGGTGAGTAGTGTCTTGAGATCTCAAACCCAATCTGATATCATATGATACTCATGTTTTTGTTGACCATCATTATGATTAGATCAAGAGATGATAGAAGAAGTCATGAAGATTCTGGGAGATGAAAGAGAAAAAGTAAGTGCCTTGAAAGGGATGAAAGGAGGAAAACTACCGATGACGAATTCACATATCATCACCTTACGTAAATATCTTACATGGGCATCGATCCATGAGATCTCACCATTTCCTATCACCTTGAAGAAATCGATTTTGTGGGCTGAGATCGGATTAAGATTAAATGGGATCTGTACTTCTCAAATCTCACGAAACATACGAGAATTAGAATGGTCTCGAAACTTTAGTTTTGATTTGTTTGATGAATCCTTTCAGGTTGATCAAACTTCACTTTGGCCTCAATCGATTTGGAAAGAATTCTTATCGGATCTTAGGTTTCCATTGATTTATTATACTAATGGTGGTGGGATTAGAAGATCTGCAAGTAAATCTCATCAAACTAATCATTCTAATGTACAACAACATCATCAACATGAACTTGAAGCGTCTCTGTCTAAACCTTTGGAGGTTTCGAAAAATCCAAAACGTCTGTTGACTTCTGGTTTGTATAATGAACCGATTCAGAAACGAAAGAAAGTTGAGGAGGTTGATGAGAATGATAGTTCGGTGGGTGATCTTGAATCTGAGTCTGAAGTGATTGAAGCAAACCCTTCGAGTGGTACTACATCATATATCATACCTGTTCAACAACCCGAAGAACCGGTCCAGAAAGTTGATTTCCGTAGTTTTAAGAAACCTAAACATATTAGAAGGAATATGGAAGCTATTCTAGAATTGCTTAGGTGGGAATCAAATGGTGAGTTTTAAATTCCAAAAACTCTAATCAAAATCAAATCAATAGGAGAGCTTACTAAGATTTTGAATTGGGTTTCTTAGGTATGATTATTGATGTGAATTTGTTTGAAGAAGTGTTTTGGAATTATAGAATTGAAGGAAAAGTCCCATTTGAAGGATTAACCAGTCAACCCGATATCAAAAGATTAGTACATAAATATTTAAAGTTTTGTTATGAATTATCGATTAGTTCCTTACCATTTACGAATGTCAAATTGATGGTCTTCTTGGTGAAATCCATGTCACATTTATCTAAATCGACGGCCATTAATTATACGTCGACTTTGTTGTGTGTGGCTAAGAAACTTCAGTTTATGAAGTTTGAAGTTCAGGGATTCGGTTGGTTTGATCCGGTCTTGATCGAGTTTAAGAAAAGTTTGATTTGGAAGAAATGGTTACAAGGCTTGGCTACTAAACCAAAGTTTAAAGATCAGCTTTAAGGTATGTACTTCAGCTTGCTAAGGTGTTTTTTATGGTACGTTTCTTTTTTGAACAAAGAATTGTATTTTAACCTTTTGGTATGATCATTGAATATCTCATTCTGATGTATGATTTTTTTTTTGATCGAACCTTTTAATTTTTTTATACAGAGAAAGTTTTATGTAAATTTTGGACGATTGATGTTTTATTTCTTTTTACAAAAGAACAAGAGTTAAAAAAGAAGAAGAAAACACATAAACAGAGATGAATGTATAAAGATTCTTTTGTTTACTATTTTTATTTTATTTATAGGAAAATAAGATAAATGTCATAATTAAGAAGAAGAAAAAGAAAGATTACTTTTCCCCCCGTCCGTTAGTGTTGTTGTCTAAATAATATCATAAAGTTTAACGAAGATTGGTTGTAAAAGTTTTAGTATATCAAAAAAGGAGAAAGAGAAGAAAGTTATATATCTCTGTTGTGTTTCATTTATGAATCTTATTTAAGTTTTGAGTTATGATGTCTTCTTTGATCATCATGATGAGATTCTCAAAAGGATTTTTTTTCATAAGATGTAAATTTATAGTATAAAGTTTTGGTGATGGATTTAGATTCCCTGGATTTCCTTGTTCTTTTCATCCTTGAAACTCATGTTCATTTATTTATTTTTCCTTGTACTTACTTGATCATATTTATTATTTTATCTGTGTTTATAAGTGATCGGTGTGAAATTTTTTAAAAGAAGTCAATGTTTGTGTATACATATATAATTGAGTGAACAATTCAAGAGTTTGATCAAGTTGAGAGTAGATCCTTTCAGATCCACATTTCCTTTGGTTGATCTTCCAAATTTCTTATAGGGCCTGCCAGAATATGGTCAAGGCAAGCAGGGGTTTGGGTCCAGTTCTGAGTCTCAGGTGTTGAAAATTATGGAACTGAAGCTGTAAAAGAGGATACCAAAGCATCGTATCACTTGTCAGACAAAGATGATACGCTACCCGTGGAGTACCGCCAGTGTCACCAGACAACATTCGAATCTCATCAAAGACTGGACACTTTAGTTGAGGTATGAGTTATATGTTTTGTATGAGGTCAAATATTTCAATCAAAAGTATTCCTAACAAACTGGTATGACCAGCTTGAAAGAGTTCCTGAAGATGGCTTTTATTTGATAGGAAGTCTATCATGAGATACAACTCACAATGCAACTAGAGAACACCCTATTAGTATTTATACACCCCGGTTGAGGTATTATTTGCAAGAAAATTTGACTATGTACATACTACATGGATTTTGATTTTATACAAGTTTGAAATTTTTTTTATTAGAAATGAAGGGTTGAAGCATGGGTTTATGATACAATCAAGAAGTATGACATTTGCTCATTTCAATGTGAAATCAGTTTGATCTGAGAACATTAGATTTGACTTTTTTGTAAAGCTATATGTTGGTGTGAAAGTGTTCAAAATAAGGCGATGGGGGAGGGTTATGAGGTATCATAGTTCCTTATCAAAGGGTTTCACGACTACTGAAACTATTCACATCAAAAGATGGATTGGTGTTCTTTAAACTTTTACTTCTCATCCTTGACATCCGCATACTTGGTGGTAAGTCCACTATATGAGCAGTCATCTGATGTTAGCTCTTGTTGATACATCTACCTCAGTCAGAAGAAGAGCCACTTACAACTTTTGATTGTCAGAATACATCACGGAATAAACCAAGCAGAATTGTTTTTTTAGTATTCATGAGGTTTTTCAGTTTATCGATTGGTGAACTTTAGACCAAAACTACTCACTCCTGCGTTCCAGGTATCTGCAGCCTTTCCATCCTTCTTTTTGTCTCCTATAGCGTCGGCCAAAGATTTGCACTTTGTGAATATCTCAGTATCATCTTTCTTTGCGTCTTTGAGACAAGCTCGCATCTGGTCGCACATTGCTATGAAAAGTAAATTCACAAGGTGGTTTCCAAGGTTAGTTTTCTGAACATTTGGTTCTCATATGAACAAGTTGAAAAATTCCGAATGAAGGATATTTACCTTCAGCTATAATATGCATATCTTTTCCATTCCAATGAATTCAGAATGTCAGCTCACGATTCAAACCCAAAGAATGATCTTGTCTATCTTGGAGTTTGACTCACTCAACGCTGCCCCATGGGAATAACCACTGCCTTTGGGCATATATGTCAATTCCTTAGGTGGTCTGCCCGGGAAACCAGCCCCAAATTGGATCTCGGGATTATTGCACTTTTCAGGGAGTGTTTTAGCATCGACAACCTTCATTTTTGATGTGTCTGGCTTACCACCGTCTGAACCGGTCCCCGCTGGCGTGGTTGTAGCATTCTTAGGTCCTTTGTAAAGATCCTGTTTCTGGCGAGGAAATGTTTCGGGTCTGGAACCCAGAGCCACACTTCCTACCTTGGGATCGAAAAATACATTTGGATCATTGCCTTCAAATTGTTTAGGAATACAATCATCCAATTCATGATTGACCGGTGCCTTTAGACAATACAAGAAATTTCTTTGTGTTTGGGGATTTTTTGAATAATCGGGGTGAGTGTTTTGCTCCGACTGATGCGGGTTGACAGTTTATCATTGCCGTCAAATCCGAATCATAACATATGGCCAATAAAGACAAAATTTCTTCAGTCATGTATAACGCAACTTGAAATCACTGAAACAAATCATCAACTGACCTCACAGATGAGTTTTGCCCATTGAATCAACTGAGTACGTAATAGATCGGATTTTACCTTATCCTTTGACTGTGTTTTGTATCACAAGAGCACATCTATCAGCATTTTGCATAACTCTAGTCATTGTGATCACCAACCTTGGCGTCTGTTATGAGTTGATCGGCAATATCCTGCCGCGCACAGTTGGGCGCTGCAGCTAATCGAGCACCTATCACTTTTCCAGCTGTAAAGGCATATCTCTGTTAGATGTCTGACAAATCTCAAGAAGCATCATAAACCGAGTTGAAAAGGAAGGTTGCTTACCGACAACGGCACAGAGTTCTCCCGGACAATTTGCTTCTGGAGTCACTGGAGACTTCAAGTTGGCTTCTTGACCCATCCGACGACGAGTGAGTCTTACCAAGCTTCAATGGGTATCGATTTTATTAGAACTTGTGCATATGTTTGAGCTAGGGTTTACAAACTCACCTGTTATGGTTCCTGTCCAGACTCATATCTTGGTTTGAAATGACATTCTCGATGCCAACCAGAAGCAAAATCGATATCAAAGATTTTATATAGACAAACATGATGATCGAGTGTATGGCAGCTCGTCTTGAAAGGCGCGTGAAGCAGTGAATCGGATGAGAACAGGTTTATTTAAAGGGTAGAAACACTATGGATATCTTTTTACAAAAATGTATAGTGCAAGGGTCAAAGAAGGAAGAACAAAGGGGAGAAACATCCCACATACGCAGACGGTCAACTTTTATGCTGAATCTGATGGCTGGCATGCTATCACCATGCACTTATGAGGTCGTTTGCAACGTTGACTTCTCGGTGGGTAGCTTCCGAGCTCTTGAGGTCTAAACTCGACGTCCGGGCTTCGCGCGATCCCATTTCTCGAAACGAATCCCATCGCCAACTCACCGTCATCGAGGCTGAGTGGACATCCATTCGGGCGCACTTTGTACATTCTTCTTCATCTTCGATACTGATGCCGGAATCTAGGATTCGGTCGTAGGTTTGAACGCGGGTGTTCGTTCTGCCTGCTTTCAAGCTTTCGAGCCATCGACACTGACTTTTTTCGTTTTTGAGAATGAAGGGCGCCCCATATATGCGTGCACATGTCGATGCATGATAGGTGAATCGTGATACATTTTGGGCTTCATTTGTGTACAGAAGATCATGAGATGAGCAAAAGATGGTCTTGATGAATTTGATGAACAAAACGAGGCTGCAATTGAAAGACGACAAAGATAACTGTTTGGCGGACAAGAGAGTGTAATTACCATCGTTGAAGGGTATGTAAAAGAAATGGATGAATTGCAATCAATTGGGCAGTGATGGTCATTGTGTCATTGTGAGATATTGCTCATGATATATTTCTTCAATGGATCTCTCAAACATAAATCATTCCAAACTCAGCTTGACCCGATTTTTGTGCATTCAAACTTATCATTCAAACTTATCACATATCATAAAGTTTCCCATTGATGGAAGCCCTATGATTTGTTGCATTGTGATCTATCTAAATACCATGAAGATGTCCTTGATTTTGCACTCCTGAAGTTCCCCCAATGCCAAATTGCTTGATTCGCATAGTTCAGACTGCAGCTCCACTCTGCGTTCCACTCGTACCACTCCATTGAGACGGAGGATATGTAACCTCAAAATTAATCAACTTCTTTCGCTGGACCGTATCGTCCGCTCCAGCGAGGTTAACCTGACGCTCAATAGTCTAGCACTCTGAACTGCCTCCTTACTTTAAACAAAGCTTGATTGATACAAAATTTACATCTGGAAGAGGACTGAAATTTCTAGTTAGTCAGGTATTGATTTTATTATGTAGCCCCTATGAGGACCCATGATTTAATCCTGGTCTAGCAAATTTTTTATTAGGCCGTCATCTCCGACAGTGTGAACATAGCAAAGATTTGAGACGTTGATGTATAAATTCAGTTCTACTTCTTCCTCAGCACATAGACCTTGTCAGCCTGAAAGCACTTGAGTCAAAATTGCTGGAACATCTGCAGGGACTTATATGAGTATGACTGGGCATAAGAGTTCATTTGTGTGGTATCATTGCTAGACAATAGAATGTTTTGTAATGACTCGTTCAGGATTGGGACTATTACCTCCAACTAAATCTGCAACCACCCCCCGAAAGCCCGAAACCATGACACATGGATTCAGCCTTCCGGCGGGTTTTTGCAGATTTAGTCAGAGCTCGCGTTAGACTCACTTTTTACGGTGTAGTCGGGGCTTGACGTCCATGCCGATTCCTCCTTCATTGGGCCCCTCTATTTATGCTATTTTTTTTAACCGTGTGCTTTTAATATTTGTGCTTTTTATTACTATCAATTTGCTCCATCTATTTTGTGCTATGTGCTTTCAATACATGCGCTTTTCATTAAGATGCTTTTGCAATTATTATTTCGATCCCAAACTGTGTCTTTTCAATATTTGTGCTTTTCATTACAAACAATTGTTGTGCTATGTGCTTCCAACATGTGCGCTTTTCATTACGAAGCTTTTGCTATTATGGATTCCATATTATATCGTGTTTTGTTAACTTATGTGCTTTTCTCTACAATCAACTTGGTGTTTTGATATTGTCATATGCCATTTCAATACATGCCTTTGTCATTTCTTCATTTTGTTATTGTTGCTTCAACCGTAGTTTTGTGGATGCTGAGACCTGGATGTCCACGCCAATCGTGCTATCATGTGGCCTTTCTACTGGTGCTATTCTTGTATTCTTGTGCTTTTTAATTTTTTGCTTTTCTTTGCAACGATATTGCTTTATCTCCAGTGTGCTATGTGCTTTCAACGTATGTGTTTCCGATTACAATGTCCCGTTATTATTCCTTCAATTATTCACCTTTTTCTTTCGCTAAATTCTCCTTTTGTGTCAGTTTCGTGCTTTTCGTTTCTCAATGTTGGTCTTTTACTTATTCCTCCGTTGCGTTGATCCCCTGCTTCTTACCTTTTTCTCCGCTGGACATATTCCACTTACCGTATGCATCAGTGAATAATTATTACACTACACATATCGTCTTGCTTTATTTTGCGCGTATATATTCGTGCTCCCTTTAACCTAATCTGTTATTGGAATTTCATAACAATCAATATTTTTACAGCAAGAAACTTATCTTTTTAATCTTCCTATCGCCTGTATATTATTTTATCTTAATCCGTTACATTGCCATCTATAGCCAACATACTTTATCAACGATAATTTTAATTGTTTTTTCTAAATTTTCTTTCTCTTTCCTTTTCTGTCTCGTCATTGTATATGATTATCATCTTTTCCAGTATCAATTTTATTAATATCACCTTTCTCGTTTTATGATAAGCGTAATCTTTTCCTCTTCCTTCTACTATACACTCATCAATTTTCCTCTTTTACAAATGGCCCTCTTTAGGATCCTTTTCTGTCCCTTTCATGTCTCTGTGTATGTGTTATCATGTTGTTTTCCTATAAATTGTACCTTCGTTTCAGCTTTGACCTCTGTCTCATCACCAAGCCTCCCATCTATACTTTTTCTTACCTTCACTCGCACTGATCCTCTATCCTCGAATCGTATCTCCTTTTGCTTTCTCAACACCTATATTTTGTCATTTTTCATTGGAATAATCCAACAACCGCTAGATTTTGTTCGTTCAGTCCATTACAATTTCATTCACCCTTTCGGCTGAATTTATCAACTCATCTCTCCTTCGGCCCACATTGGATTGCTATACCTCTTTAGCTTTGAATACGCTCAAGTCTTTTATAGGATGGTATCAGTAGAATCCCTTGATTCCACAGATTTTCCTGGGTTCGGAATCGTTAACTGGAAAACCATTTCATCGGTTCAAGACCCCGTAGACAATATGCTCTTGGCGAGCCTCCTTGTAGACTTCATTTGTGGTGAGCTTCGCGTACATATCCACTTTTACGTCCTGTCTAATTTCATGTTTCCTAGACTCCCGCGGAAAACCCAGGCCAGTCATACAATTGGGCCGTATCAACAATGTTTCTCTAGGTAGAAACTATTGCTTCACAATTACTTTGCAACACCGTAACTTTCCCGAGGTTAGAGTGTCTCAAATATAGTAAGTTTAAAGTGATCCTTGATTGTTCTTCTACAATTTTCTTTTCACGTATGGCTACATGTACTAAAAAACCATTCGCGATCTTTTCTCCTTGCTTCCAATCATTCTCCTTCCTAAAACCTCACATATTCAATACGGGCTTCGATCGTTAAGGCATAGTCTTAACTTACCGTTGGTTCCTTTGGAGTGGATGTTTACCATACCTTCCAGTGGGAATATCCACTCCCCTTACCGTCAGCCTAATTTCAACTCTATCTTATGTCAATGGGTTACATTCAGTTCCATGAATGGATTTGTTGTATACATTTGTAGCGCCACTCCCTTAAGGATGGCCTATGGTTTGCGTTTATCCCTCTACTCATATAACGGTGATATGCACCATTCAATATCCATTAGACTCCCACTCATACGCTTTGATCTCATATCTTTTCTGCATTCCAACTCATTGTAAGCTGTTGTTCCGGAAGTTTAGTCCAATCATAGGCCCACATTCTCAGCTGTTTGTAGCAAATATTTAGCCCCTCCATTACGTTTCGTTCAATGCCCCTGACCCTGAGCACCAGTTATCCTTATGTGTGTGTCCAAAGTTTGAACATTGTTCAAACTTTTGGGCTAACCATGGTGTTAACTTGTACTTCATAGGCCTGTACATGGACCGCGTATACTTTTCCTATAAATCCTGTCCCTATCAACACTATCATCTCAGGCTGGAGACATTTTATTGCATCGGTCGATAGTCTCCAACTCCATTGTAATACAAACTGTTTTGTTATCTCACTCCGTCTCCATCATCTCCGTTGCAATCAAAATTCGCTCCATTATATAATCTAACGTTAGAATTTTTCATTCGTATATTTGTTCAATTTCAAAGACTGGTTCTACCTACATCGCTAACACTTCTCTTAATCTTCTACTGTTTCTTATCCTTCTGCGAGACGACACATAGATATAGACGCACCAACTTACCATGAATCGATCACCTAACCGAGTGTCAAAACCTTCCACAAATGTCGGCGGAAAGAGAAAGAATCATCCATTTATTATTGCTTCTTTGTTTGACGTGTTTGAAAACGTGAGATTTCCTGTTTCTCATGGTCAGTGTGATGACGAACTGATGCTTTCGTGCGTAGGTTGGGCCTGAAGTCAGCGGGATGTATGGTCTTCGCCATTCTCACACTACTGTAGTAACTAGAAATGAATCTGGTGAATCAGTTGAATGGGTAATCAAGTGTGTTGCGTATGGAGGTACCGATATTATTCTTGACATCGACGGAGTCTATTTCCTCAAAGGCCGATTGTTAGCTTTGAACGAGAAAGACACTCAAAAGTTTTATTATGAACCCGATTATCAACTTTTAGCTAATACCTCCGAGAACCTTCCATGCAATTTGGCTAATGGGGTTAGCGTTACTGGTCTGGGTGTTATCTTTTCACGTACTGTTGATCCCATTGAACCCGGCAAAGAAAACATCTTTCTGGTTGTCAGACATTCTGACTACAACCCTGAAGTAAGCATGATCTCTTTCTTCTTTACATTAATTTTAACTGAATTTGGTGTTAGATTCACGCCCAATCTGAGTTCAAGGTTGAATATTGGGCGATGTGGTCGAAATTGATGGAGAAACTTCAACCTTTACTCACTGAAGGTCGTGAGGTAATGCTTACTGGTCATATTGTAGGCCAAAATGAAGAAACCCACATGTGGATAGTCCAAGTTGAGTTTATGTTTTCAATAAATTTTGTCTGACGAGGTACACTATATTCACCATTTACCTGTTATGTAGTTAACGGGTGTGAGTGTGACAAGCGGATCAGAGAACATTTCTCCACCCGTTATTATGGAAGGTGCCTCTTCTTGTAACACTCCGCGTGGCCAAAAGAGAGCTAAGATGTAAGCGTGTATAGCCTCTTCCTTTTGTCTTTTGTTTACCGTGTGATGTTTTAGGGTCTTCACAGATGCCGATGCAACAGCTCCAACTGCCTCAACTTCCTCAATCGGTCCACTCTCCTCTCTTGAAGATGATGTTTCATCCAAGGCCAAAGGAAAATCTCCTTTGAAACCAGTTTCCGCCCGGGGTGTAACTAAACGTACCAAAGGAGCTACATCTGATGTGGAACCATGAGCATATAAATTTGTTCTCAATGATTGGTCTTTGGCCATGGGTTGTCTCCTTGTCATGGTCAAACTTTTTATCATCGTTTGTTTCCAATTTAAGCGTTGCCTCATGTAGCTCTCGCATTTATCATTTCTAT